GACGAGTATTATGAATTTGGTAGTAGAATCACCATTGTTACCAAAACCCATTCCAACTGGAGCACCACATAAGTTTAATGCAAATCAAAAAGTTATCACAGAGAGTGAATTATAAGCACCCATATATTTCAGGAAGCAAGACACCTCTGGGGGCTGTAGTATTTGGTTGTGGTCATGGACAAGGTGGACACAACACAGTTACTACAACATTTGAGGTGATATGGGCTTTGCTTAGAAAACTATGTTGGTCATTTATTTGTCAGATTAATCCAGACACTACATGACCATGACAAGCATAATGCAAGAAATAATGAAGTCAGAGAAAAAAAAAAGTAACAATGAAATATACCGAGTCAATGGCTTCTAATTTCATTCCAGTAGACCGGATGAAGCGTTGTAGTTCAGGACTTACAGGTTCAATGTACCTCCCACAGCCAAGAATCAAAATCTCTGAAATTTCAAAAGAAGCAGTCAATACTGCTACAACAGAACTTATCATTTAAACTGTAGCTGAAAGAAGCTAAATTTCAGAATAAAGAGTAAACCCAGTTATCATATTTCCAGTGATTGTGATGCAATCTAAAAGCTATTAACACACGTGTTGTCATTATTTACTTGGGGACAAAAATTTACAGTACAACTTTTTTTTTTTGGGTCGAATTTTTACAGTACAACTTGATCAAGACCAGTCATTCATTTCTGCATTTGTGAAGTGATATGGAGAAAGGAGGACAGTAGGGATGTGCTACCGTCTCTGCTTTCACCATGTCATTACCATTATCCTCAGATATGATAGGACTTCAAAAAACTACACCATTTGTGTTTCCAGTTTCTAAAATGTTATTTCGTTAACTTTGTTTTCCCATCATCTTCTCAATTAGTTTCCTAACATCCCTTCACCTTCATCTTCACATCTACACACCAACTATATCTCTCAAAAGGGAGACAGGAACGGTAAGGCATCCTACCTTCCTCTCTCCTTAAATTGTTTTGTTTTTGCAGATGAGAAAGGAGCTGAACTTAGAAGTATGCATGAAAGAGCTCTAAAGCATGTCACATAGACTAGTATCACAGTACGAAGCATGATCAAAGATGTATCAAAAATCACATTTTCTTTTAAACTGGATGTCTGCCCACCAATATATTGGGAATAAACCCAAACAACTCAAATGAACGAGAAAGCTAGTTTCTGCACTTATGACTTTGTACTTATGCAGAATGTACTTATGAGTCATGACCTTGTACTGAATAAATGTTTTCCTAATGATCCGTATATGATTATTAGCTGGGTTCCCTAGGATTTTTAACATTTTTTTTTTAATAGAAACGTTGTATTGATAAAAAGAAGGATAAGCAATCCTCCTTACCAAATACAGACAGAAAAGATCAGACTCCTTAGAGTCGAATGATGTAACCACAATCCAGAATTGAATATAAGAAAACTAAGACAATATCTTAAATTGAAACATTTAAGATATTGTCTATATGTCTATATGTCTATTCAAAATAATCTGCGGGGGACAACCTAAAACAAGGTACATATGAAACATAACAGGATTAAAATGCAATTTGAAATTTACCTGGCACAGGTCGCACGGTTTGGAAGATGGACAGGCTGAATCACAGCATAAAATCCATTAAATTGTCAGTTACTTCTGCCTCACAATCAACATGTTCCACAGTTCTAGTAACTAAAACAAGTTCATGCATTCATACACAAATGTACACAGATGCATATATTCATGTATCATGTATGGATGGAAAACTAGAACAATAATTTAAACATCCACTTCGATTTTTGGGGGTACAATTTTCTCAATAAAAGAAAGAAAAACAAAATTGAAATGCTAATAAAACCTTGAGCCACATCCTTCACTTGTTCTAAATATTAATCTTCAAGTAAATATTTTTTTTCTATGAACAAACAAGAGAAAGAAAGAAAGAAAGAGTAAAGACCTATCAGGAGTGATTTCAGAGAATTTCTTGGGAGCCCAAGACATCAACATGTTTCCAACACAAAGCAAGCTTCCTTCATAGTCCACCCCATTCACTGTGAACCCTGAGTCCGTGTACCTTCACACAGAGAGTGGCAAAATGGTAATTAGTGGTGGTTGTGGAAGAGCCAAAAACCAAAGAAAGAAGACACAGCAGGAGAATACCGTTGAAATCGAAGCTGGTCATTAGGGACGTTGTCAATGAGATTGATCTGATCGTAGAGAGAGAAGGCGCGTCTAAGCGAAGGCAACGATTGTTGGCACGTGGGTTTTGGCTGGGCTTCCTTTTGGAGGCTCCGAATGAGGCTTGGCAGTCTTGCTCTCGTCCCCATTTCTGCCTCTCTCTCCGTGTTTCTGTGTGGCAATGCAATTAACTCACATATGCACTATTTCAAACATGGAGTTCTAAAAAGACCCAGAAATCAAAATCTCTGAAATTCATCAAAGAAATGAGCTTTAGCTGAAAAATTCAAGAGGGAATCAAAAAAGATGAAAAATTAAACATGTGTTTAGTCCAAATCTAAAAAATGTTGAAGCAGTTCTTACCTTGATGATTTTTATTGGTTGGATGACTGGTAGCAAAGCATCGTAGAGGTTCTGCCATTGCCAAAGAGCTCAACGGTGGGAATATACAAACAGCAGAGCCAGCTTGGCGCGGACCATATGGGTTTGGGTCACGGGCCGGTTCATTTGGCCCAGAGCTCGCAGGTCAGTCTTTAGTCCACTTCAGGTAGATTTAGCAACCTTAAGAGCAGTTCCAGCGCAGGGCTGAGCCCAAGGGGGGGGGGGGGAATGATGTTCCAGCGGTCAGCCCAACCCCGGGCAAGCTGGCCCGAAGGTCAGTTCAGCCCGAGGTCAAACTCGCATGTTGGGTGACGTCATGCGCGACTTCAGCGCTTGTTTGAATTTTTTTTAACAATGTGCCAACAGTAAAAAAAAAATTAAACCAGCGTGCGCTGATGTCAGCGCGACGCCATCTCCAACGGGTAGAAGCCACGTGTCACGCCCCCAGCGCTCCGATCTGCTTCTCCGAATCCAATCCAACGGCTGGCATTTTTTTAGCAATAAAATTATGAAAAAAAATAGAAATTTAAAAAAAAAAAAACTAAAAAATTCTTTTTTTATTTTTATTTTTTATAAATACCTATCAATACCCTTCACTTTCAACACCAATCCTCATACATTTTATTCTACTTCTACTATTATTCACTCTTTACTCAACATTTTCCTCTCTTTCACCTTGTATTTTTTTTTCTTATTTTTATGGCTTCTTCTATCGAAACCGGAGGGGCGTGGAGCACTATGGAAGATGTTTCCTTGTGTGAGGCTTGGCTCCAAGTTTGTCATTGTCCCATGACAGGCAATGAGATGAAATTTTTTCATATGTGAAAAAAAATTCATGCCGAATTTTGTGAAAAAATTCCGGGGTCGACTCGTACGGAAATGACATTGTTTAGTAGGTGGAAAATTCTTAATAAAGAGTTGGGAAAATGGAGAGATGCCTTGGCAAAAGTGATGGACAACTATAGAAGCGGGGAAAATCGTACTAACGAGGTAAGTATTTTGTAATTTTCGTTTTATTAAGTTTAATGTCCTAATATATATATATTTTGTTAATATTTATTGCATTTTCAATATTTTGTAAATATTTATTGCATTTTAAATATTTTGTTAATATTTATTGCATTTTAAATATTTTGTTAATATTTATTGCATTTTAAATATTTTGTTAATATTTCTTGCATTTTCAATATGTTGTTAATATTTATTGCATTTTAAATATTTTGTTAATATTTATTGCATTTTAAATATTTTGTTAATATTTATTGCATTTTAAATATTTTGTTAATATTTATTGCATTTTAAATATTTTGTTAATATTTATTGCATTTTAAATATTTTGTTAATATTTATTGCATTTTAAATATTTTGTTAATATTTCTTGCATTTTCAATATGTTGTTAATATTTCTTGCATTTCCAATTGTTTCTTAATATTTCTTGCACTTCCAATTTATTTGTAAGGTTAATTGCATTTCGTCCATTATTTTTTTTTTTGTTACTTGCATATCCAATATATTTTAAATATTTCTTGCATTTCCATTTTTTTGTTAAATAGATGATTCAAGCACAGATGTGGTTCGGTGCAACTGGGGGTGGCAAAACAAGTTTCAACCATCATGAATGTTGGGAGGTGGTGAAATATTGCAAACGCTTCATAATTATTCCCACGGGTCCCACTGTTGTGCTAAACAAGATGCCACTCCGTGATTCAACGACATCGGATTCACCCTCGATTCCCCTATGAATCAAGACTCACCCATCGAAAAGGAGCCGAGGCCCATTGGCCGAAAGGCTGCGAAGGCAAAGAAAGCGGGTAATTCAAGCAATAATAATTCAAAGTTTTTGGAGGAAATTGCAAGGCAAAATGCCATAAGAATTGAAATGGAGCAGAAACGCCAAGATAACGAGATGGCAATTCAAGCCGAGTTTTCACGAGAAAGGGGAGTATTTGCGCAAAAAAGATAGGGAGAAGACGGATCGGGAAACCATGGCGATGGATACAAGCCATATGTCCCCTGAAACAAAACAATTTTGGAAGCTAGAACGCAGGGATGTTATGAGAAGAAGAAGATTTTTCCAAGATGATGGGCCTAGCAACACGGATTGGTTAAATGATGAAAACCATTAAATTAGTTGGCATACCTTTTATGTTTTTGTATTTTTTCATGTTTTCTATTCAAGTTGTTGTAATTCATGTTTTTTATTTTAGTAGTAGTAATTCTTAATGACTTGTATTAGATTTCTTTATTTAATAAACAAAGCATTCAATAAAAGACCTTTTTATTCAACATATTCCATACATCAAACAAAACATAATTAAAATTAAAAAAAACTACAAACAAGGCACAATAATAATAACAAACCACAACCAAACCATAATAAATAATAAACAACACAACCAAACCATAACTAAATAAAACATAACCAAAGCATCTATGCTCCATCATTCATCTTCATTGCCTTTCACCGCCCGTAGATGCTCCATCAAGTCAAGTTGACGCCTTTCATGAATATACGAAGATTGCATCTCTGTATATCGATCTATGATACGGGTCATGAAACGACCATCCCTAACCAACGGGTCCGGCTCAAACGGTTCTCCACTTGGCCCCATGGGCCTTTCATAAATTTGTGTCAAGGCCATTGTTGCGTAGATACAGCTGCACCAAAATGGATTCAGTTGCATCCTCAACTTGTGATACTCGCAAGTGCACGAGCCGTTTGGTAGTATAGCATATGTAAGTGCGAGGTCGATCCCACGAGGATTGGTGATTGAATGATCCAATTCATTTTCCCTACACAAAACAGAAATGAAAAAGAAAGGAAATAAATAAAACAAGGAAGAAAGAAATAACTAACTCAAGCA